CGCTGATATCGTCAAACTCTCGACGGAAATGTGCTATTTGGGTCCGATATTGCAAAAATTTATGAAGTTTGTTGTTTATTAACCATTTAAATTTGGTCCATATTTTTTCAGTTTATGGTTATTAGCTAAGCAACAGAAATCCAAAATCACCTTACACTATCCTACAAATACTACAGGTTCCACTAAAAAGTCTGAAATAAAATAATTTTTAACAAAAAACAAATGCGACTTCGAAATGCACTAAAAAGTGTCAAATAATTTCTATTTCATTTATACCAATATTCCATAGCTATTAATAATATCTACTTAATCGATAAATATGATACCAAATACATTTCAAAGTTTTCGGAGGCGGCGCAAAATTATAAACTTTTCTTCTACTAGGAAGATATTAGTTCAGACGTCGGCAACATATGACAAATGACCCATTTGAAAATTTCAAGTAAACAACATTCAACGGGAATCAACATACCCATTGCGTATTAACTATACTGCAGTTCACAAGAGACCATACTTAACTCGCGCAGCTCAGTAGGTCTGGGGACATTATTAATAACCTGTGTGATATAATTTTTTCTTTGAAAAATAATACTAATTTCGCTGTATCGAGTATCTTTACCATATCATCATCGGTTATCAGTTATCGTACGTCATATATTTCTGTCCACCATTTAAATGATCCCAAAGTAAAAAGCAAGCTGAAGAGAGGAATGATACACGTTATTAAAAATGTCCCCAGACCTAGTGAGCTGCGCGAGTTAAGTGTGGTCTCTCGTGAATTGCAGTATATATGTACATCAGAAGTGTTACAGAGGGACCGAATACAGACGCTTAAATGGGGAGGTGATTTCTACGAATTCAACTGAAGGAAGGAGAGGAGATGAGTGCGAGTAGGATACCTATATTCTATACATGCGAATGCGGCGGTCAATTCGAACGTCATTTGTCATTCCGAATCCATGATTGTAAGGCCGCGATTCCACATGCGTGAAAACTTCGACATGTGTGGAACTTCTGTTTCCAAGAACTGGTGGGGATAGCGACGGACTCTTATGTGGGCTAAAATGCGGACGCCTAACTGGGCACCTCTGTACCAACTTCTGATACAATCGTTAAAAATACGAATGTTATCTGACGTATCTATAACGATTCGAATTTTTTTTTTACGACTTATTAATTACCAGGTTTGCCATACCGCAGTCAAATCGTTATTGGCAGCATCGTATATTCGGGTATTTTTAATTTAACCTCCGAAAACTTTGAAATGTATTTGGTATCCTATTTAACGATTAAGTAGATATTATTAATAGCTATGGAATATTGGTATAAATGAAATAGAAATTATTTGACACTTTTTAGTGCATTTCGAAGTCGGATGTGTGTTTTGTTAAAAATTATTTTATTATTGTTACGAGTTCCTTTACTAAGTTTTGAATTTCTATTTTGTACGCGCATTTATTACAAGGTTTTGATAGACTTTCTAACGATTCTGCAATAACTTCGGGTTACTTTAGTAGGTAGTGTGGATTAATAATAATAGATATAGATACTTGATTTGTATATAAGTAACAATTGTCGATGTGTTCTAAAAATACTGTCGAATTATTTAAAGGTTCAGTATGTAATTTACAGTAGATTGTTCCAATGAAGTAGAACAAGAGGGTAAGGGTCGTCGGCCTGAAATAAAAAGTTTTAATCGATTACCATGTACCTTTAATTGTCGATTCTCCGACGGAAAATGAATAGTATACGTTGGAGGAGAGGCCTGTATTATTTCTGCAGGTCCTAACCATTCATGATCGAGTTTATTTCGTTTATGATCGTAATGTAGAAGAACTCGATCACCTATTTTGAATATAGTCTGTAATTTTATAATTTTTCTGTCTTGATCCCGTTTATAGCGAGCGTTGTTTTTATTGAGTGTTTTTATTGCCTCAGAAATGTACGTGTCGTGTCGTCTCTTCAAAAGTTTAAATAACTGTTCTTTTGTCATCGAAGGAGTTGCAGAAATTGTTGAGGGTAGATTAGCTTTGTGTCCGAATGTTAGTTCAAAAGGTGTATAACCTGTCGATTCGTGAACTGAGGTATTATAAGCCATACAAATAAGTTTAAGATTTTCGTCCCAATCGTTTTGTCTTTCGGCTGTACATGTACGAATTAAGTCTTCTATCGTTGCGTGTGTTCTTTCAAGTGAACCGTTAGATTGTGGATGGAAGGAGGTCGTTTTAACATGTTGGATTTTAAATGTCTGTTCAAACGTTTCCATAAGCTTACAAACAAAATTCGTTCCTTAATCAGTTAAAATTTGTCTAGGTGCAGAAAATATGTATACATAATGATCCAATAATTCTGGGATAATTGTAGTGGCTTGCTGATTTTTGAGGGGAACGAGGACAAGGTATTTTGTTAATTGATCTTGGATTGATAGGATAAATTGATTTCCTCTTTTTGTTTTTGTTAATGGGCCGAAAATATCCATGGCGATTTTAGTATTAGGTTCTATAGGTGTATTGGTTATGATAGCTTCTTCCTTTTGCCTAATTCTCACTAGTTTTTCATGTTGACAGGTTTCGCAATTTTTTATAAATTCTGTAACGTCTGCTTCTAAGTTGGGACAGTGAAATTGTTCTTGAATTCGTTTTACAGTACGATTAATACCTAAGTGTCCTACTATTTCATTATGATTTTCCTTCAGGATTGTTTCTTTTTCTTCCAGGGTGTAATCCCGCGGAGGTTCTGAACCGAATATAATTTTTATGTTTCTAAATTTTGACTAAGAAATCGTATCATCATTTGAATGTAAACCTTTTCTAGTGGTGTTATTTTCTCGTCTCCTATTTCTATTGGGAAAGTAATTTTATGTCTATTGTCGTTAATTAGTTCAGCTAATTTATTTATCCATGTTTGTTCGTCGTAGTCACCTAGTAATTCCTTTGTTAGTTGGTAGAAGTGTGGTCGATTAATTTTTTGTGTTAATGGTGCAGGTGTTATGTCTATTCCAATTTTCATATTCGTTAAAATAGTCAGGATTTGAGGAAAATTCAGTTGGGACTTCTTCCGTTTCTTCTGGAGATGATATAGGAAGGTTGGATTCTTGTGAGGTGATAGGGTACAGCCGTGAAAGAGCGTCTGCGGCGGTATTTTCTTTACCTTTTTTGTATTCTATGTCATAATCATACTCTTCGAGTCTCAATCGCCATCTCATGAGTCTAGAGTCTAGAAGAGGGATCTTTTACATCCTTTAACCATTTTAGCGCTTGGTGATCAGTCTGAATGATGAATTTTCTTCCTAATAGGTATTGTCCAAGTCTTTTGGTGGCCCAAACTATTGCGAGTAGCTCTTTCTCGCTTGTACTGTAATTCTTCTCAGGAGGATTTAGTGTTCTGGAGATGTAACAACAAGGATGACCATCTTGGGAGAGAATTGCTCCTAATCCTTCATTTGACGCGCCTGTCGTTAGGGTGAATGTTTTATTAAAATCGGGGTATTGTAGTACTGGGGCTTCGCAAAGTTTTTGTTTTAGCGTGTCAAAAGCGAGTTATTGTTTGTCTGTCCAATGGAATGGGACATCTTTTTTTACTAAGTCTGTTAGTGGTTTTGCAATTTTTGAAAAGTTACGGATAAATTTTCTATAGTATCCGGCTAGTCCAAGAAAAGATTTTATATTTGTAGAATCTCTAGGTTGTTTGAAGTGTGTTATTGCTTCTAGTTTTTTTAGATTTGGTTTAACTCCTTCCATAGTTACTACATGACCTAAATATTCTAGTTCCGGTTTGAGGAAATTTCTTTTTGTCGGGTTGGATTTTAAGTTTAAGATCTCTAAGCCTTTGGAATACGATTGCTAAATTTTGATTATGTTCTTGTATCGTCGACCCGAAGATGATAATATCGTCTAAGTAAACAAAACAATGTTTTCCTATTAAACCGCGAAGCGCTGTGTCCATCATTCTTTGAAACGTTGCTAGAGCATTTTTGAGACCGAATGGCATTCTATTGGCATTCTATGATGAAATCTTGAAGAAAGATCTAACGCGCTAAAAAATTTCGCTTTTCCTAGGTGGTCCAGAATTTCATCTATATTAGGTAATGGGTATGCGTCTTGGTCTGTCAATTCATTGAGTTTACGGAAGTCGATTACTGTTCTCCATTTACGTTTACCTGAAGCATCCAATTTCTTCGGAACTACCCAAACCGGCGCGTTATAAGGAGAGTCTGATGGTTCAGTGATTTTTTTAACTAGCATGTCATTAATTTGTCGTTCGATTTCTCGCTTATGGCATTCAAGTGGTCTATAACTTCTAATATTAATAGGTTTTTCAGATTTTAACGTAATAGTGTGTTCCGTAAGGGATGTACAAGGAAGTAAGTCAGTTCTTAAATTAAAAACGTCAAGATAGTTGATAAGGATTTTTTCTAAAGGGTCTCGTAAATTTGGATCAATATGTTTAGTTCTAATAATTTTTGCAAATTTGTTAATTTGATCGATTTTATCATCTGGTTCTATTTCGTTTGTAATCTGATGGTCTTGCTTAGCAGTGTTGATGTAGCATATTTGAACAGGTTTTCCGTCTAGATATTGTGTTCGTTTTATTGTTTTTCCCGGAGACAGTGTGTGAAGAGTAGTTTTCTGAAATGGTATAATTTTGTCGTTAATTTTTAATGATTCGTTATTGATTTCGTATTTATATTTTTCTAGAAATGGTAGGCCCATTATGCCGTCTTCTATTAAAGGAAATGAATCAGGGATTATGTGAAAGGTATGAGGTCTTTGTTGTATCTGAATTATAGTCGTCTCATGAGTAGTATGTTTGTCGTTACCCATAAAAAATGTTTTGGTTTCTGTCGGCTCTATTCTTTCGGCTATTGATCGCTTGAGGATGTTGATTCCTGCTCCTGTGTCCACGAGTAGTCTTCCGATTCTCGACATTCCTGGAACTCTGCAGCAATTTTGTAGTAATTTTCCGGTGGTGCAGTTGATTCGGATGTTGTTTCTGTCACTTTGTTCTCTTGAAAATTGAGATTGTTCACTCTTGGTGGTGGAATTTTTCCCTGGTTGGCCACTTGAAAATTTCGAGCGTAGCACTTGTCACTGGTGTGTCCTAATCTTCCGCACTTTGTACATTTCAAAGGTATCGAGTGGTTTGGTCGGTCACTTGATGTACACTGAGTTGCATTGAACTTGTCGCAGTGAACTTGGCTACAAATTCACTAACGCATTCACGCCGTGTCGGTGAATGAATGCGTGGCCAACTTCATTGCGACAAGTTCAATGCAACTCAATGTACTTGGGCGTTGCCCCTGTTGTTTAGGCGGAGGAATTCTGGATGGTACTTGTCGACGCTCCATTGCACGATTCGCGTCGCGAGTCCACAGTTCCATGTCGGCTGCCATTGTTTGTGCCTCCATTAATAATTTCGGTTTACTTGGTATTACGAGCATGCCTATGTCCCTGCGGAGATTGAGCACATATGTTCGAGTAGCTTCTGTTTCTTCTTCTTCTATAGCTATTCTTCTTGAAATTGGATTTTGGTGTTTATTTTGAACGGCGTAAATTAATTCGTTGAGTTGTTGTCTAAATCGTAGGTTATAAGACTGTACTGTTTCCGTTGCTCCTTGCCGTATTTGCTGTAACTTATTACGGCAACTACTAACAGTATTAGGTATTGAAACGTTTTGACGGAGTACTTCGTAAAGTTCTTTATACGTTTCAATTGACGTGTATCGAATACTTCTTTTTGCATTTTCCGTAATTTTTTCGATCAGAATTAATTTTAGTAATAATGTTTTCTCAGAACAATTACTCCTGGCATACCTGACTGATTTGATAAAATCTTCAACTCCTACATCATCTCGTCCTCGTAAGGTCTCGATGGTTCGAATGGCATCAACTGCTTTCATCAGTTCGTTTGGCCTGATTGTTGAATTTTGGGGTGGTTGTCGGGCCGTATGCATTTGACCTTCTTGTTGATTATCTTGATCTCCGCCGCTTCGTCTGGTGATCCTCGAAATAGTAGACGCGTCTTCAGTGAGGGTGACCAGTTTCAGCCGCTCTGCAATATTTTGGATTTCTTTTGCACGATTTTGGTTTTCTTCTCCTAGAGTTGTCAGTTGTTGATTGATTCTTTCTTCCATCCGTTGCATCCTGTCCAAGAGTTGCCGTAGCACGTTCTCTTGTGCGGCAGGTCCGGAGGCAGTCATTGTTGAAGATATTGAGGACTCAGAGGATAAGGAGGATAGGTCAGAGTTTTGAGAAGAAATGCTGGGTGGTTTTAATCGGTAATGTTCAAACGCCAGCTTTTACCTTAGGTTCGTTGGATCCCTACGTATCACGACAGAGTGGCACTCGTAGTCCCTTCGTCCGAAGTTCCGTAGAAAGCCCCCTTTGGAAGTGATGTTGAATGGATCCTGGCAGGATCGCCAAAATGTCACGTAAAAAGTTCACAGGTTTTTAAATGAATAGCACTTTTAAAGGTTTAGCGCTTTATTTTTATAATATGATCCCGACTGACTCCGCTTATGTCCGGTAAGGTCTTTTATAATGTCGTTGATGGTGGAGAAGGGGCCGATAATTGACAAGGTGGGATGTCCGTGAGAACGCGTCTTATCGAATACTTAAGTAGGTGGTCGTAATATGATGTTTAGGTGTCCGGTCGTGAGGAGTTCAATTGTTCGAATATCGATCGTTTAGGCGGGTGGCCGTAACACGATGTTTGTCCGATCGTGGGAAGAATTCGATTAACGTACGTTTAGGCGGCTGGTCGTAACACCATGATCGATTCTTGTTCTTCTTGTTTGTACGCTCACCGTGTAACTACATGTTTCCGGCCCACGCGAGTATTGCGATTCAAGTCCTCAGTTTTATTCACGCGACGCGTATTTCTCAGTCCGCGCCGTGTTCTCTTCGTTTATTGTCCACGCATATCAATTTAGAACAAGATTAGCATAAGTGTTCTATGTACAGTATTATATTAAGTGTATGTGCCGACGCAGGACTCTCTCGCGACTTGTACAGTGACCGTTGTACATATTTTTTCCTCTTGTACATTCTGTTTCTATTTCTAAAATAGAGTTAAGTGTTGTTACGTTTAAGGCGTGTCTCATTTTCGGACCTCGCAGAACTCGTGAACTCGCAAACAATGACCTTCTCGGATGGGTTACCCCCCATAATATCTGTCAAGGTGCTAATTTAGTACCTATGGCGCCTCCATAATGACTGGGACGACCCTATCCCGGACAAGCTATTCTTCAAATAGAAAGCCATTTATACAAATTTTTCGCAGTTAAACGGTTTGAAAATTCCTCGATGGATCAGTTACACCCGAAATTGGGAAAACATAGAAATTCATGGGTTTGCTGACGCATCGACCGTCGCATACTCTACGGTCATATACTTAAAAGGCTCTAATTCATATGCAAATACAACAGTTTCGCTGCTAGCAGGCAAATCGCGAGTCGCTCCACTTGCCCAGTTGACAATTCCACGCCTCGAATTACAAGCGGCAGCTTTATTATCTCGACTTTTTGAATTTGTGCTTTCAACTCTAAAATTCGGGAGTATCTGATACTTTTACTGGGCCGATTCTACGGTGGTATTAGCGTGGCTGCGCTGCCATCCGCCAACGTGGAAAACGTTCGTCGCAAACCGTGTCACGGATATTCACAGGCGACTTCCTCAAGTAGAGTGGAGGCACGTTACCACTGCGGAAAATCCCGCAGACTGTGCTTCGCACGGCCTGCGCGGACAGGATCTTCGCTCCTCCACCTTCTGGTAGCATGGACCAGAGTGGTAGTCTCGCGCTCAATCCGAATGGCCAAACAGGAGCGATCTCGAAGTCACTGAAACCTCGTTGGAAAAACAGGTTATTCCTTTACATACAGAAGGTCAACTTCCCAGCGACTCCCTCGAGTCGCGGTTTTCCGCATGGCCCAAGCTAATTCGAGTCACGGGGTATATATGTCGTTTCATAGCCATAATGATATCATTATTGGCATATCTACATTAGATGTGTAATATACATTTAATAACAATACCCATACAGCTATATCCACATTAGATATGTAATCTACATTTAATAACAACATCATTATTGCTGTATCTACAATACATATGTATTATACTTTTAATAACAATATCATTGCTAGTATAACTACATCAGATATGTAATATACATTTAATAGCAATGTCGTTACTACTATATCTACATGAGCTATAATGTAATATACATTTAATAAAAATATTATTGGCATATATACATTAGATGTGTAATATACATTTAATAACAATGTCATTATTACTATATCTACATGGGCTATAATGTAGTATACATTTAATAAGAATATCATTGTCACTATATCTACATGAGATATAGCGTAATATACATTTAGTAAGAATATCATTATTGGCATATTTCCATTAGATATGTAATATACATTTAATAACAATATCATTATTACTATACGTACATTAGATATAATGCAACAAACATTTACTAACAATATCATTATTGCTATAGCTACATTAGGTATGTGTCATACATTTGACAATAATATCATTATTGCTATATCTACATGAGACATGTATCATACATTTAACGGTAATATAATTAATGCTATATCTACTCTAGATATGTATCATACATTTAATAACAATGTCAATATTACTACATCTACATTGGATGTAATGTAATATACTGATCAATACCCACAGAATGTACTTTTAATAACAATATCATTATTACTATATTTTCGTTGCATATAATGTAATATACTGATTCCCTGCCACAGATAAACATACATTTAATAACAATATCATTGTTACTATATCAACATTGGATATAATGTAATATACTAATTGCTTTCTAAAGATCGATGTACATTTAATAACAATATTATTATTTTTATATCTACATTAGATATGTAGTATACATTTTATAACAGTGTCATTATTACTATGTGTACATTGGATATAATGTAATATACTGATCCCTTCCCAAAGATCAGTGAACATATAATATCTATATCATTCATACTATATCTTGATTAGATATAATGTAATATACTGATCTCTTCCCACAGATCAATGTACTTTTAATAACAATATGGTTATTACTATATCTTCATTAGATATAATGTAATATACTGATTCCTTCCTACAGATAAATGTACATTTATTGACAATATCATTATTACTATTTCTATATTTGATATAATGTAATATACCGATATCTTCCCACAGATCACTGTACTTTTAATAACAATATGATTATTACTATATCTACATTAGATATGTGTTGTGGTAATGCTTTATTCCCCATACTCTAAGTTTCCGGTTTTGCGTTTTTCCGTTATGATCTTCAAATGTTAGATATAAGTATGGTGGTTTCACATCCGCGTTCGTTACAAGTTAATTTCTTTTCATAAAATTATATTCAAGATGTTCATTCAGTATTATTATATGCACATATTATATTTACATTTCTGTTATTAAGATGGTCATTAGCAAATAATAAATATCGGTTTGAGTATGTTCAATGGAATGTGTTATGCTTTTCCACGTGGCAAATAATAGGTTATGGGCCCAGATATATATAAAGTCAGAAAATTAATAGTAAAGGAAAATGGAGAACCAAAATAATTTTAATGTCGAGCTTCTGAATTCAAACAATTATCATATGTGGAAATTTAGGATGACCACACTGTTAAATGAGAAGGATGTGATTGGATGCATCAGGGTGGAATTTAATGAGACGCTATATGAAGATGCGCGAATGAAAGAGAAAGCTCGTAAAGATGATAATTTATGCAAGTCTCTTATAGTACAGTCAATTCATAATTCACAGATAGAATATGTGAGAGACAAGCCAACAGCATATAGTATGTGGAAAGCATTGGAAGACAGATATGAGAAAAAGGGTGTTCCAGGACAAATAGTTTTACGTAGAAATTTAATAACCATGCGGTTGAATGACGGAGACAATTTAGAGACATTTCTGGCAGAGTTTGATGAAGTGATTCGACAGTTAACGGTCACTGGAGCAGAGATAAGTGAGCAAGATCTTGTCTGCAATCTATTGTTGGCGATGCCTAAAACCTTTGAAACAGTTGTAACGGTACTAGAGAATATGCCACAAAATGAGTTGACTATAGAGAGAGTAAAAGCTAGGTTAAGGGCAGAAGCTGAAAGAAGGAAAGCTACTGATTTTAAAAGGGATCATAAAGAAGATGATGCGAAGCCAGCAGCATTTCTAAACAAACAAGTTATATGTCACTCATGTGGAAAAGCAGGACATTTAAAGCGGAATTGTCCAGAATGGAGTCAAAGCACATCAGATAGTAATACAGGCAAAAGAGACCAATATCAGTATCGAGAAAATAGAGGAAGAGGAAATTATAGAAGAGGCAGAGGCCATAACTTTAGAGGACGTAACTTTAGGAGGTATACGCATCAGAGTTACAAGCGAAGCAATTATGCGGACAAAGGAGATGATGATGATCAATCTGGTGCTGTTTGTTTTATGTCAAACTCGAAGGATTGTTCAAGTAATGTGAAAGATAGTGGTAATCTGACCTTCTGTATAGATTCAGGTTGCACGAACCACCTTGTAAATGATAAGACGTGTTTTCATGAACTTTTAATGTTAGAAAAACCGATCAAAATAGCAGTAGCAAAGAATGGCCATTACATGGAGGCAATGGGTGTTGGTAATATCAAAGTGACAAGTAATGTGTATAACAGGGATGTGGAATGCAATATAAAGAATGTGTTATATGTTCCAAGTTTGAGAAGAAATTTGCTTTCAGTAAAGAGGTTGGAGATGGCAAATATTAAAGTCGTTTTCAGTAATGGTAAAGTAAGCTTGTATAATGAAGGTAAACTGATTGGAGTTGGGCATAGAGGTAACCTATATGAGATATGTTTTAAAGTTGAAACAAATGAGAGTCTCAGTGTAGAAACAGAGAACCATGAGACTAAATTATGGCACAATAGGTATGGACACATCTGTAATGCAAACCTGGGGAAGCTAGTAAACAAACAAATGGTTGATGGATTGGAAAACTTAAAGGTTAATAAAGTGGAACTATGTGACTCATGTATTAGTGGGAAAATGACCAGACTTAGATTTGGAATGAGAACTAAGGCAAAGCGACTGCTTGAGATAGTCCACACCGACGTGGTGGGACCTATTACACCGTTATCCCATTGTGGAGAAAAGTATTTTGTTACCTTTGTGGATGACTTCTCAAATTTCATTCTGGTATTTATGATTAAAAACAAGAGTGATGTTATTGATTGTTTCAAGCAATTTGTACTGATGGCGCAAACCAGATTTAATTTAAAGATAGCTACATTAAGGTGTGACAATGGAAGGGAGTATACTTCCCAAGAATTTAAAGAATTTTGTAAAATGAATGGTACTTATATAGATTATACCATTCCATACACGCCTGAACAAAATGGGAAGGCAGAGCGCTTTAATAGAAGTCTAATGGATAAAGCTAGAGCTATGATACAAGAAGCTAATATGCCAAAGAATTTTTGGAATGAAGCAGTGAGAGTGGCTGCATATTTACTAAATAGAAGTCCAAGTGCAGGAAATTTGGATGATGAGGTTCCAGCGAAGATTTGGTTTAATAAAAGGCCTGACGTAAGAAGTCTTAGAGTTTTTGGATCAATGGCATATGCACACGTTCCCAGAGAATTGAGGGGTAAATTTGATTCAAAGACGGAAGAATGTATAATGATAGGCTATTGTACGACAGGCTACAGATTATGGAATATTAAAAGACAAAAGGTTATAGTCGCAAGAGATGTAGTGTTTAAAGAAGATGAATTTTATTATAAAAGACAAATCAGTCATGTGAACTTGAGAACAGAAGAAGAGATTAATGCCAGAGTCGAAGAACATAACGAAAAGGAAGAGCATGATGAAGAAGAAGAGAATCAAATCGTAGAAGAATCATCAAAGGAAGAAGAAAGGGAACCAAGAAGAGTAAGAAAGCCACCAAAAAGATATGATGATTACGAGATGTATATGACATTTGATGCGGTATCATTTGTACAACAAGTTCCAACCCAAATCGAAGAATTAAGCCATAGGGATGATGAAATGTATTGGAGAAAGGCAATGAAGAGAGAGATTGAGTCGATAGAAAAGAACAATACTTGGAAGGAAGTGAATATACAGGAAGGCACAGAAATCCTGACTACACGATGGGTTTTCGCTCTAAAACCACTGGAAGAAAATCCGGAATATAAATATAAGGCAAGATTAGTGGCAAGGGGATTTGCCCAAAAGGACTCTTTTGATTATAATGATATATATTCGCCTGTTGCGAGGATGAGTACAATTAGGACATTGTTAGCCGTTGGTAACCAGTTCAAGTATCATTTTAAGCAACTTGATGTCAAAACAGCGTTTTTAAATGGCGAACTGAGAGATAATGTATATATATATCCGCCAGAAGGTGTTAAATGTAAGAAAGGAAAGGTGCTAAAATTAAATAAGGCATTATATGGTCTCAGACAGGCGTCCAAGTGTTGGAATGTCAAAATTAATACATTTTTATTGAAACAGGGTTTTTGTAGATCAGATAATGATTATTGTCTGTACTCGAAAGAATTCAAAGGTAGTATTTTGCACTTATTACTGTATGTTGATGATATTATTTTAGCAGGGTCAAACATAGAATGTATTGAAGATTGTAAGAAAGAGCTATTGAAGGAATTTGATATGAAAGATAAAGGAGATTTAAAATATTTCTTGGGATTGGAAATTGACTATGATAGAGAAAAAGGTGTCTTAAAGGTTAAACAGGAAAGATATTTAGAAGGAATTTTAAAACGTTATAACTTAGAGAACTGTAATCCATGCTTAACGCCCATAGAAAGTAGTTTGAAATTATGTTCAAATAAGGAAGAACAACAAACTAAGCCGGTTAAAGAATTAATAGGGTGTCTGATGTATTTAATGTTGGGTACACGCCCAGATATAAGTTTTGCAACTAATTACTTTAGTCGTTTT